CTCCTGGATACATACCACCCAATCATCATAAACAAGTTTTTACGAAACTTACGCAACAAAAGTACATTTTTGTACTCAAAATTTCTGTCTTAGACCTCACTCGATCGCTCTCTTCTCATGAAAATAGCCATCGGCTAAGAAAAATCTACAAAAAATCGGTTTTTCTACCATGACTTGGCAGATTCCTATAAATAAAATGGCGTCGGCCTTGCCCTGGTCCCTGCCGTTAAATAATTTGCAATTTTTTTTGCATAAATAAGAAAAGCATGAGAAGAGAGCGATGCGTTCCGCTACTCTCAATACGGAGAAAAAGTTTCATTGATTCTCATTGCATAGAATCCAAGAAAACTTGTTTTTGGTAAACGTCTTTTTGTGGTCGGTTTCGTTACCCCTTAAATTTCAGTTCCGTTGTAAAATACTTTTCGCTGCACGACAGACTAATAAACCCTTACCATAAAAGTCGACAAAATTTCCCTTAATATGTCTAGACGGTCCCTCGAGTCCTAATCCTGGAAATAACGTCTTGCCCTCTTTTTGCACCCGGAGACGCTCTCCCCCTAGTTCGGACACGTTGGGCCCTACGTCACAGACTTGTGGGAGTGGAGAGTAGGAAGGACCCAAAGGTCAAGAGTTGTGGGGTTGTAGCGACGCCCTCCACCAAGCGCATTACGATACGAGTGGCTCCCTACCCTTCCTTGGGGGTGCAACTTAAACTTAAGTAAAATTTTGTGAAGTAGCGTAAGAATAACAAACTTGTTGTAAGATCTCTTCTATCTCATCGTTCAAACAGAAAACAAGTTCAAGAAATTTCTTCGTGCTTAAAAGAGTCTCGGAATTATTTTTAATTAAAAGTTACATGTCTTAACTTAAATAATCATCAAGTGTCGTCTACATTATTTCAAAGATTCCCGCTTCCTGCGAGCAGAGTGCTTTAGCGCTCCACGGGCAACTTACCCACTACCCAGTAAAACTACTAGACCCAAAAACCCACACATAACATCGTCATAATATGGTCGCTCTAACAGAGATTATAAGGGAGATTGCTAGCGCCTATGGAAACGCTTCAACCGCAAAATTCAGTAGCGGTGGCGCAGAACTAATTTTGAGCATGTACCTGTAATTAAAACAGGGAGGGTGTGAGAGCGTCGATAACGGCGCAGAGTGGTGGGGAACGCGTATGGGGGAATCGGAGGGCGGAGCGAGCGGTGATGTTCGCTGTCGAGTAGGTGAGGGAAACCTACCGCAGTTCGAAACGCCGACGGGCGGCGGAATCCTGCCCTTAATATAACAATCAATTCCTCCTTCCCTAATGAGGACAAAGGGATGAAACGGTTGCCAATCGATTGAAAATTGAATCCTCAACTGATTGCGATCTGTTTTATCCCTTCATCTCAATTAGAGAGGGAGAAACGAATATTTATGGATCGAGTGAGTCCCCAAACGGTTCTCCCCATTGAAAAATCCATTTCTCCTCCTCCAGCAGAGATTAAGGTATGAAACTGGTGACAATCGATTGAGAATTGGATCCTCAACCAATTGCGGTCGTTTCATTCCTTCATCTCAATTAGAAGGGGAGCGATGAATTTTTCAAGCGCCGGAGGATCCCGACCGATTCTCCGGCGGCTTTGATTAAAAAATCCATTTCTCCTCCCCCAGCAGAGATTAAGGGAAACTGAAACTGGTGACAATCGATTGAGAATTGATCCTCAATCGATTGCGGTCTTCAT